CTAACCATACCACCTTTGCTCCTCGGTATTGTACATCGGAAATTGGAAATGATCTTAAGTAATAAATAAAAGATATGGTGATAGAGGTCCCAATGGAAACCAATCAAATGTTGATCGAGAACAATACTTAGAACACGAACACAAAATTTTTTAATAGGTAACTTGGACTGCCTTCTTTTTGGTTTTTCATTAATTTATATAGAAACAAGATACACTTATGCAGACAACATAGATAGAAGTGGGAAAGTGACGATCATGTTCCTTAAAACTAAGAAGACATTATCTTATTTTCTTAACACAAATAAACAGAGACTAAGTCTCCTTGACTGCCTCATTTCGTTGACTGCCTCATTTCCTCCACGTCATCGATCATGTCGATATCAACACTACTTTGACCCTCATCAATACTCTGGCCGTAAAAATGAGCCTTGTCCTCAGGGTTCAAGTCGTGGAAACTCTTCTTAAGTTGGCATGTTTATTCTTATTCCCATGTATTTTCTTCCACCGATGGGTCTCGCCAGTATATCTTTGTCTCATGAATTTGTGTTTGGCTGTGAAAAACGAGTCGGTGGTTGATAGCACGCTCTCATTTTAGTCGCAAAACATTACTCGTCTGGAGAGGCGGAATTGGTCTGATGTTTGGAGTGTGTCTTTCTCTAGTTCCATATTTGCGGTAAGATCGTGGGGAGCTTCGTCACGAGAAAGCTCGTCCAACTTATCAACAGTGGAAGTTTCGGATAATGTCAAAATTTACACACCAAATTTCTTTTTTTTTTGTTTTTGGAAGAATAACCAAACAAAGAGTGATACTCGAAGATTGTTGATTCCAAAAGAATATCAATATTCAAGAGAAACAAACTTGAAATGTTATATTTTATTGAATATCCAAAAAAAAAAAAAATCTCTAAACTCTGTATAACCAGAAAAGAATAATAATAAGAGTAATTATTTTTTATGGAAAAAAACTAGAGATAACGATGCAAGAAGTACATTTTTTGTTAGACTGAATAAAAACCAAGTTTTGATTCTAAGAAAATACCGAAATTCAAGAGATGAACTTGAAAAGTATCAAAACAATTTTCTTATAGAGATTTTGATACCAGGATGCTTTTGAAACCACGATGCTTTTGATTTATCAAAAGTAAAATGTGTTCTGTTACCAAATGATAGAAGTTCCAGTGGAAATCAATTAAATGTTAATCAAGAACAACTCAGATGTTGTAAGGTCCGACTGGAAACCAATCAAACGTTCTCTCTTCTTGTTGGAGTTGGCCGAATTGAATCAATCAGCTGTGAACAGTGAACGAATCGGATGTTGCACAAAGAAGGGCTTTGGTTTTATTTTATCTGTTGATGGTCAAGCCAACATTTATGCCTCATTTCTTTATTTGAATTTATCGAATCCTTTCATTCTTTTCGTCCCTCAATTTGTATTAAACGAATTAAACCAGGAATTCAAACTTTCCTCAATTGAGTGCATTTGCAGTTCCTCTAATATTACTATTAATGGATTTTACATTCTACTATATGGATCCATTTGTATGGAATTTTATTATTTTCTTGTCTATGTTGCAATATTTCCCGTATTTACTTGTAAAAACCTCGGTTCACCAATGACTATATTTCTTAAAAGGCAATTCTCATAAATACCACTAAATAAAGTTTTGTTTTCAAAAGTACCATCATTTTTCAAATATTCCACAAATACCACAATTTTTCAAATTTTCCACAAAAACCACAAAACTAAAATTAACTTTCAACATTCAAAAA